TTCAACGCTTTCCTCACAGCAATATTTATTTGTTTTATTTGTGTTTATCAGATTTTATACTACCCATTTCATCTAAGTGATTCTGAGTGGCTTACAATGAAAACAAAAAAGAGGTATAGATGCATAAATAAAAAACTGAAACAAAGCTAAGAACTAAGTTAAAATTAAAATATTAAGATTTTAAAAGGTAGAGAAAGCAGCCTCATGTCACCAAACATGATATCTCAATGCACATAATTCTTTGATCCTCATGCCAATTGGCAGAGCCAGGTTTCAAGAGTGGGGGCCTGCTTCACCTCTAGAGGCAAGATGTTTCAAAGGACTAGATCTCTTCCTGGATCTCAGCAGGCAAAATTCTTCAATTAATAGTATCTGCAACATATCCTCCTTGCCTAACCAGATGGGATGGGAACATGTAATTGAGATACCGTTGCTCAGGTAACCTGGTTCCATTTCATAAAGGGCTTTCAAGGTAATAATCATTACCTTGAACTGAACCTGGAAGCAAACTGTCACTCAATGCAGCTCATGTAGTAGATGTGTTACATACACAACTTGGCAGCCACCCAAAACTGCTCTCACTGACTTTTCTGCACCAACTGTAGCTTCTGAATACTCTTTAAGGATAACCCATATAAAGCACATTGCGGTAATCCATTCACAAGATGACCAAGACCTTAATGACTGAAAGAAGGGCTTTTTGATCCAGGAAAGAATGGAACTGGTCCATAGCATGAAGATGAACAAAGGTCCTTCTAGAGACATCTGCAATATGTTCCTCAAGTAAGAGTCAGGAATCCAGGAGGCACCCAGAACTTGATTATGCACCAGGTCTGCCTGGGAGAGTATAACCCCCACCCAGACCAAAAAAAGTAAACTCCTGTATGCAACAGATCCTCCTACCCACAACCATTGTTCTCCATCCCCATAGCCACCAGGTACAATGAAACAGAATCAACAATGGCATGCCCAGAACTCAAGGAGTGCAGTAACTCATGTAGTTCGATGCTGGGTTAACAATCAGCAATCCCATGATTGAGACCCAATTGCTGCTGCATGATGGGGTGATCTTCCATCTTTCACTCCAATTCCTTTGACCTATTAGTTTGAAAGCAAGTAATCGCAATTAGATAGATAGGTATCACTTCAGTGGCCACACTAATGGGGATAGGAAAGGAACTGCCAACCAGACATCCCATGGGTAACAATATTGTCACCAGCTAATCCTTTCAGCTGGGGAATGCTTTGGTGCTTTCAACACAAACACAAGCAAGCCCAGTGCAGAGATATACATTGGATATCATCAGCATACTGATGCTACCCATCCTGTGAGGATAGAGGATCTCACCCAGCAGTTAAAGATGTTAAAAAGGAGCAAAGAAGCTAAACAATGAGCTTCCAGCAGAGTAAACATCCGCCCCAGACTTTTTACACCACTTCTAAACCCCATGGAGAAAAAGAGTGAGGAACCCGTCCCTCCCAAACTATCACCGGCCCCAGCCGCCTCAGACTTGCGCTGACCGCCTTCTTCACGGATTTAAGAACTGTGTTTTAACTAATTTGTTGAGTGTATGATTGTATGAATGTGAGAGAGAATGCACCCACTTTTTAACTTAATTAATTATTGTATTATTGTATTGTATTTTAACGATTACTGTGGGGTTTGTCTGAGGAGAGTGTTTGTTTGGTGAATATGATAGGACTGGGAGTGCGACCTGGAGCCCCCTCCACTGAGTGCAGAAGCAGAAGTGGATGGGGGCCCAGACCCGCCTCCCGTCCTAGAGTGAATGGTGCGCGTGGCCTGCCGGGAAGAATGGGGGCCATGGGAGAGGGGGGGGTCTACGGGGATGGGGGAGGGTCAGAGCATTTCAGTTACGACCAGGAGGGGCAGATATGACGGGAGCTGTAGGGCTAGCCATTACCGGGGAAGAAGGACTCGCTACATTACAGCGATTCCTTGTTCCGGCCCCTCAGGCTCAACTCAAGGACCTGGTGGCAGAGGAGATCAGGGCCCTGGTCTCAGGTTGTTGTTGCTAAATGCCAGGTCTGTTGTGAACAAAGCTCCCCTCATCGGGGACTTAATATTAGACGAGGATGAAACCTGGCTGGGCCAAGAGGGAGGAAATGTGCCCAGATGGGTTCCAGGTGCTCCACCAATCACAACACCAGGAAGGGGTGGGGGAGTAGCAGTTATCGTCCGAAAATCGTTAGTTCCTCGCAGGATCCCTGCCCCAGAGATTGTGGCGTGTGAGTCTCTCCTCTTGAAGTTGGACCTAGGGGTTCAATTGGGCTTGTTCTTGATGTACCTACCTCCCAGCTGCCTCACGACAGCCCTGCCTGTGCTGCTAGAGGCAGTAGCCGGGTTGGCGGTGGAGTTCCCCAGACTAATGGTACTGGGGGACTTTAACCTACCATCTCTTGGCAAACACTCGGATGGGGCACAGGAGTTCATGGCCTCCATGACAACCATGGACTTGACCCAAGTAGTTCAGGGTCCAACTCATAGAGCGGGACACACGCTTGACCTTGTATTTCTCTCGGGGCAGTGGAGACGTGATCTTGATTTAAGGGGAATAGAGACCTCTAT